GGATTCCGTGGAAGCAGAGGCTGAAGAAGGGGAAGAATACTGAATGGGGACATGGCTGGCAGGCATTCCTCTCTCCCTCTCTCTCTTGCCACCCTGCAGCACAGGTGGTTTTCAGTTGTTTCCAATTAAAGTTTCTGTATGAAACTTCGGTCTAGTGTGATGCTCATTTGGGATACACTCATGTGACTGCCTGGATGGGTAGGACCCCAAGGCCTGTCAGGCCGTGTGGAAAGCTGTCCTGGGCTGCACTGTGAGTTGTGTACAGCACTGCCTACATCTGTAGGGAGCCAGTGCATACTTGACATGATCTGCATGGCCTGGGGAAAACAGTTCTTTCCAAATTGAGGTTCCAAAGCACAAAGATTGCCTAGATTCTAGCAAAACTGAGTTAGGCTTTCAATGGAATTTGCAATTTTTCAGGTTTCTCTGTTGATGGCACATGGTGACTAATGTGTAAGTTTGGAACTGGAGGTTGAACACCTGAGGTCCATGGAAGGGGGCTGTCCATAAAGTCCTTAATGCTGTGGGTCAAATGTGTAGGGCGAGGACATTGGGCAGGGGCGGGGGGGGGGTGTTGGAGTTGTATCGGATTCTCCATGGCATTCACAGTCACAGGGTGAGCTCTAGATTACGGCTCATCTTTGACTTTACTGTGCACGTAACCCGTAAGACAGCATTTCCACTCCACCCTCAGACCCTTGCAGCTCTACCCTGGGAATGGTCTCGGCAAAAGCACTGCACCTTTCTCTTCAGCGAAACATGTTGACGTGCATTTATAAAAGTTTTAGTAACAAGAGTTTGAACTGTGCAGGTCACTTCTATGTGGATTTTTTACAGCATGGTACTGTAAATGTATTTCTCTTACGATTTTCTTCTCTCTAGTTTCCTAGAGCATAATACAGTATGTAATAGTATATGATATATATAGTATATGTATACAGTCTATAATACATACGTAAAAGATGTGTTAATTGACTGTATATTATCAGTAAGGCTTCCTACTAACAGTAGGCTGTTGGTAGTTAAGTTCTGGGGAGTCAAAAGTTACGCTTGGATTTTCAACTATGCAGGGGTTGGTGCCCCTGACCCCCATTTGTTCATGGGCCAACCATACAGATATTTTTCTCTATGACCTGAAAATAAGGTATTGTAGGGTGAAACCACTGGTTTAGGTCAGTTGGTTGTTACGTTCAGCTGCAGTACATCTAGGCCCACAGTGCAAAACTGATTCTCAATCTTTGAGCCTTAATGTATTCAAAAGGCGATAGAAAACAGCTTGGATGGACCCTCGGTTTTTCACAAAGCTTTATTACCAACCGGAGGAAACCACACGTAGCCTCTGCTAGGAGGCCGGTGGAGCCCACAGCTGGGCGGCGTGAGAAGTCTGCCCGTCTCAGGTGCTGCTCCGAGTGGGGCTCTTCCCCGGCCCGCCCCCCTTCGGCAGCCTGGTAGCACTGGGTTGTCGGGGCGTTCTTTGGCTGGATCCTTCCCGGCCGCCACGCTCTGCCAGTGCTGGGCCTCCACCCAGAGCCGTGCTGCCTTTGTTTCTCCCTGAGCGGACGCAGAACACAATTGTTAGGAACCAGGGCAGACTCCACAGTCGGCACACCTACTACATTTGTGTTCCTTGCACATTACGTCTGGTACATCTCTGTGCGACCTTTCAGCCAGGGATCCTCTCAGCTCTGAGCCCTGAGGCTGAGGACCACCTGGAGAGGGCACATCCGAGAGAAGTCCTCCACAGAGTGCAAGAGGCCCTCGAGCATAGGTCCTAGGACAGAAGCAGCACGAGGAACAATGGGGAAAGTCCGCAAGGCCCATTTAGGGAAAGGTGAGCTCAGCCGGTTGACTCCCGCCCTGGAGAGTGTAAGGAATCGCCCGACCACCAGCAGCACAGGAGGGCTCGCCACCAGGGCCACCACTTCGAAGCCTCCCCTGGCGCTCCCTGCTCCAGATCACCCACAGCTGAACTGCTGGAAGCACATCCATCAAGAATGGAAGTCAGGCTTTTGGATTTGGACCTTGGAATCTTTCCCTCAGGCGTTTCCCTGACTACCTCAAAGTATTTTGCAAACTTTCGCTGGTCAAGCCTCTTGCTCTCAAGTGCAGCTCCAGGATCCTGTGACTGGCTTCATGCTGAGGCTTGACTGCTCACAGGAAGCTTGCCCTGACCACAGGTAGTCACCTTCAGATGGAGACCACTGGTGCAGATATCCCTTGACTTGTAATTTACTTACCTTCCCCTCTTTCTGTGAAGACAGGAAGATCTGTAATCACACTTGGGCCAAACTTTATTCTAAAGGAATGGCTTCCCTGGCTTCAGGATGTTGACAGCATTCACGAGACCGAGAGGACACCAGGAGGCACAAAATGTGCCCAGGGAGCAGGCTCACCCCCTGGGTCACAGTCCCTCCCCACTGGGCCTTCCCCAGCCAGGGCTCCTCTCTGCTCCAGCCTGGCAGGGTCCATCCTGCAGACTCTGACCAGGGGATGCGTCCCATGTTTGACCCTCAACCTTAATGTCAGTTCTTAGTCAAATAAACAGCCTGCAATGGGGACATGTGGGTTTTTGGAGAACAGACACCATGAATTTCTTGGGGGCATGTTGAGTCACTCCTGGTTCACCATTTGTCACCTGGAACAAGGGGAGGCACCTACATTTGTGACACTGCAGTTCCTGGCTTCTTCAAGACATCAGACTCCCTTTCCATCCTCTCTGACACTACTTTCTCCCCAGGACTCCTGCAGAGATAGGACAGCCCTTCCTAAGAGCATTTCTGAACAGCTCCTCCCCAGGGAACAACAGGGGGTCTTTGCTGCCTAGTGGGGTGGAAAGGGTTACCATGGTGCCACTGCTTGGAATGCCACAGCTCAGATTTTCCCCTGCCCTGCCTCCCTGGGCTTGCACAGGTTTGATTCAATGGAGATGTAATAACACGTTACAGAGGGCCAAGGGCACGTGGTGGGG